AAAAATTCTAAACAACCAAATTATATTCAGTTAAATTGAAAACATAATTAAATGTTTACCAATGAAGAAAAGCCCAGGTCCTGGTGGTCCAAATACTGAATTTTACAAAACATTTAGAGAAGAACTACCGCCACTACTCTTTAAATTTCTCAATGAAATTAAAAGGGAAGCAATACTTCCAACTTCATTCCTGGAAGCAAGTGTTACTTTGATTCCCAAAGCAGGGAAAGACCCAACCAAAAAAGAGAACTACAGGCAAATCTCCTTAATGATCATAGATGCAAAAATCCTCAATAAGATACTGGCAAACAGAATACAGAGGATCATCAAGAAGATCATACACTCTGACAAAGTCAGATTTATCCCAAGGATGCAAGGGTTGTTTAACATACTTAAATCAATAAATGTAATACACTATCTTTACAGAATCAAACACAAAAAAATATGATCATCTCAATAGATGCAGAAAAAGCATTTGACAAAATTCAACATATATTCATGATAAAACCCCTACAGAAAATTATAATAGATGGTCTACATCTCAACTTGATAAAGGCTTTCTATGAAAATCCAACATCCAACATCATATTAAATGGCCAAAGCCTGCAAACCTTAATGCTAAAATTAGGAACAAGACAAGGATGTCCAGTATCACCACTCCTGGTCAATATAGTTCTGGAAACATTAGCCACAGCAATTAGACAAGAGCAAGAAATCAAAGCACTAAAGATAGCAAAGGAACAAGTTACACTGTCATCGTTTGCTGATGATATGATACTTCACATAGAAGATCCAAAAAACTCTTCCAAATGACTGCTATAATTAATTGAAAGATTCATCAGAGTAGTTGGATATAAGGTCAACACTGCAAAATCAATAGCCTGCTGGTACAAAAATAATAGACTCACTGAGAGAGAAATTAGGAAAACAATTCCTTTCATAATAGAATCCAAGAAAATGAATTATTTAGGAACTAATCTAATTAAGGAAGCAAAAGACCTCTATAATGAAAACTACAGCACTTTGAAAAAAGCAATAGAAGAGGTTTAAAGAAAATGGAAAGATATCCCCTGCTCCTAGGCAGGAAGAATAAATATAATGAAAATGGCCATATTACCAAAACATCTGTACAGATTCCATGCAATCCTGACAGAAATTCCAACTGTATATTTCACAGAACTAGAGAAAATCATCCAAAAATTTATTTGGAACCAGAAGAGATCTAGAATAGCAATAGGTATTCTATGCAACAGACACATGACAGGGGGGTATCACAATCAGCAATGGGACAATACAACAAAGCCACTGTAACAAAAACAGCATGGTACTGGCAAAGAAAAAGACCTGAGTAACAGTGGAGAAGATTGGAAGATAACAGACACAACTCCAGATGAACTCAGCCACCTCATCTCTGAAAAAGGAGCCGACCATCCTCACTGGAGGCAAGATGGCCTCTTTAATAAATGGTGTTGGAAAAACTGAATTTCAACCTGCCACAGATTAAACCTGGACCCTTATCTTTCACCATGCATTAAATTAAAATCCAAGTGGATTAAAGATCTAAATATTAAAAAAGAGATTAAATTTTCTGGAAGATAAGTTAGGCAGAACTCTTGAAGACATTGGCATAGGAAAAGACTATGAACAAATCCTCAGTACCACAGGAACTAGCAGAAAGAATCAATAATTGGTTTCTTATTACAAAGCTTCTGCACTGCAAAAGAAACCATCAACAGAAGTAAGAGACAACCTGCAATGTGGGAAAAAAATTTTACCAGCTGCTCCTCAGACAAAGGACTATTACCTAGAATATATAGAAAACTCAAAAAATCAGCCCTCCCCCAAATATAAAGACTGGATTGAAAAATAGGTATCTGAAATGAACAGACATTTTTCTGACAAATAAATAAAAGCATCAAGTAAATAGATGAAAAAATGTTCCTCATCATTGCTCATTTGAGAGATGCAGATGAAAACATCATTAAGATTACACCTCACCCCACAAAGAATTGCTGCTATCAAGAAATCAACAAATAACAAATGTTGGGGGGTTGTGGGGAGAAAGGAACCCTTCTCCATTGTTGGTGGGTGTGCAGACTGGTTAAACCACTATGGAAATCAAAATGGAGATACCTCAAAGAGCTGGGACTAGAGATTCCGTTTGACCCAGCCATCCCTCTGCTGGATATCTTTCCAAAAGAATTAAAAGATTTATATCACAGTGATATATGCACACCTATGTTTATAGCGGCACAGTTTGTAATAGCTGAAACTTGGAAACAGCCCATTTGCCCATCAGTTGGAGACCTGATAAAGAAGCTGTAGTTTTTCTATAAAATGGCATACTACTCAGCCATGAAGAATGAGAAACTAGAGTCATTCATAGGAAAATGGATAGATATTGAAGCCATAAACCTAAGTGAAATAAATGCCAAACATGTGTAAATACTGAATAGTCTCTCTAGTGTGAAGATCCAAATTGAATAATTGACAATATAAAATAGGAAGAAAATACCTAAAGTTTTAGAGGAAGTAGGAAGGGTAAGGGAAACAAAATAAGGGAAAATAAAAATATATAAGAAAAGGAAAAATGGAAAAAAAGGCTTTGTAAACAGGGAACCATGGAGGGTGATAAGGGAGGTCAGGGGTATAGGGGAAAATGAGAACCATGATATGCCATGTACAGGCACAAGATCCAAAAGATAAAAATAACTGTGCTGTATACTTAAAAAGTACCAATAAAATCAATGAGAAAATAATGGACAATGACAACAAAAAGAAAATGGAATGCCATCCCTTATTCCTGAATAGGAAAAACCAATATAGTGAAAATTGCCATACTTCCCAAATTTTCATATAGATTTAATTCAATCTCAATTGAATTTGCAGCAGAATACTTCACAGACATTGAGGAAATAATCCAAAAATTAATTTGAAACAAGAAGAGATCTAGAATAGCAAAAGCAATTCTAGTCAACAAAGACAAGGTAGGTGATATCACAATCCCTGACTTGAAACTATAGTACAAATCTAGTGTGATAAAACCCACATAGTTCTGGCAAAGAAACAGATCCAAGAACAATTGAAGCAGATTAAAAAATGAAGAAGCAACACCAGAGAAACTCAGCCACCTCATTTTTGACAAAAGAGTCAGATACCTTCATAGAAAAATATCTTCTTGAATTAATGCTGCTGGAGAAATTGGGTTTTAACTTGATAAAAATTAAAACTAGACCTATGTCTTTCATCACTCACTAATGTAAAATCTGTATGGGTTAAATATTTAAATATTAAAACAGAAACACTATATGGCCTGGAAGAGAGGCTAAGTAGAACTCTTGAAGACAATGGTGTATAAAAAGCTTTCATGGAATCTCAGTCACATATGAATTATCACATAGAATCAACAACTGAGATCTCATTAAATAGCTTCTGCACAAGAGAAACCACCAACAGAGTAAAGAAACAACCCACAATGTGGGAAAAAATTTTCACCAGGTGTTCCTCGGATAAAAGTCTACTATCTAGAATATATAAATATCTTTTAAAAAAACAGACACACATGTGTAAATACCAAATAGTTTCTCTGGTGTGAAAAACTATAATAGTACATAAGATCCCAATGAGATACTTGACAATGTACAATAGGAAGAAAGGGCTAAAGGTGTAGGTAAAGTGGGAAGGGTAGGGGAAATGTAATAAAGGAAATGAAAAATTAGGAAAAAATGAAAAAATTGAAATAAAATGTTTGTAAATGGGGAGGAGAGGAGGGGCTGAAGGGAGGGCTGGGACAAGGGAAAAAATGAGAACCAAGACATGTTGTGTAAAGGTACAAGATCCCAATAATGAATGTAACTGTACTGTTATCCCTAAAATGAACCAATAAACTCAATGAGGAAAAAAACCAGACCTACCAAATGTAAAGACCCAATCCAAAACTGAGCATTTGAAATGAAGAGACATTTCTCAGACAAAGAAATAAGGAATAGCAAATAAATGTGTGAAAAAATACTCAACATCACTGATCATTCAAGAGATGCAAATGGAAACAAGTCTGGGATTCCATCTTACCATAGAACAAGTGGCTGCTGTCATGAAATTAACCAATAACAAATGTTCATGGGACTGTTGGGGAAAAGGAGCACTTCTCCACTCTTGCTGGGAGTGTATACTGTGGAAATCAGTGGAGATACCACAAAGAACTAGGATTAGAGGTCCCAGTTTACCCAGCTATCTTCCTTCTGAGTATCTTCCATAAAGAATTAAAAGAATCATGCTACAGTGATAAATGTGCAGCTATGTTTACAGAGGCATAGTTTGTAATAGCTAACATTTGAAAACAGCCCAATTTCCCATAAACTGGAGACTGGATAAAGAAGATGTGGTTTTTCTATAAATGGAGTACTAGTCAGCCACAAAGAATGAGAAACTAGAGTCATTCATAGGAAAATGGATAGATATTGAAGCCATACACTTAAGTGTAATAAATAAGACATACATGTGTAAATACTGAATAGCTTCCTGTTGTGAAATACTGAAAGTGTAAATAAGGTTCAAATGGTATAATGGATATTGTGAAATAGAAAGAAAAGAGCTAAAGTGGGAAGGGCAGAGGAAAAGAAACAAGCAAAAAGAAAAAAATTATGAAAAAATGGAAACAAAGTCTTTGTAAATAGGTTGGGGTAGAGGGTTTGAAGGGAGCACAGGGGAATGGAGAAAAAATAATAATCAAGATATATTGTATATTGTAGAAATCTCCAATGATGAATGTCATTATATTGTATACCTACAATATACCAATAAAATTAATTTTAAAAAAATCAATTGTTTTAAATGTAAGAGTTTATTTCTAGACATTCAATTGTATGTATTTGTCTACCTATCCATATATATATATAT